ACTGCTGCTATGCCCTATTTCTGTCCTACCAGCTAGCCCCTTCACTAGCGGGATGCGTGATACCTTTCTCTCTCGATCCCTTACCTTCCCGTTACTCAGAAAAGGTACGGGAATAGACTGCAAAAGTCCTAAAAAAGCCCCCAATTCCGCAAAATCCCTAACAGATCCTTCCAAGGATCTCCAACACTGTCGTATTCCCTGCCGAGCTTCCAGGCCTCACACCCCCCATCCTGCTGGGTTACAGGGCAACACAACTCAACCCAGCTCCGGCCAGCGTCGTCTCAGCAGCAACCCTTGGTTGTCCCCTGGGATGCCCCCCCCAAAGCACCCCCAGATCTCTCTACCAGGCCTCATGCCCCTGCATCAACACGTTACAGGGCAACACCCCAGCACCGGCCAGCGTCGTTCTGGCGTCGAACAGCCTTAGGTCACCGAGTATTACAGCCTTGAAACTACCTACAAGAGATTGCCAGGAAACCCCAGGATCCAGAAGACTTTTTAAGGACGGAACAGACTACCCCCTTTTTTTGAGAATTGGATTTAACTACGTAAAGATTCGTAATTTGAAAACATAAAAAAGGCCTGGCGGGTCCTAGAAATGCTCAGAAACCCTTGGAATCCCTAACGCTCCTTCCGAGGCCTTTCAACACTGTCCTACTCCCTGCCGAGCTCTTCCAGGTCTCACACCCCACATCCTGCTAGGTTACAGGGTGACACAACTCACCCCAGCTCCGACCAGCATCGTCCCAGCAGCAACCCTTAGCTGTTCCGTAGGATGCCCACCCCTAAGCATCCCCAGATCTCTCTACCAGGCCTCATGCTCCTGCATCACAGGTCACAGGGTAACACCCCAGCTCCAGCCAGCGTCGTTCTGGCATCGAGCAGCCACAGGTCACTGAGTATAACAGCATCAAAAACCACCTGAGAAAAGTTGCTAGGGATCCCGAGAGCCCAAAAGCATTCTTAAGACCCCCGAACAGCCATCTGTAAAAAGAAAAAAAAGAAGGGGGGGGAGGTCAAAACTAAATACCAACCATCCTAAAGTCCCCCCCTCAACAAAGGAGCCCGCGGTCTCGACTTTCAGTCCTCGAACCAGAGCACACTTGGTCTAATACCCCCTTCTGCATGGGTAACAGGGCACCGCAACCTTCCCCAGTACCGACCAACCTAGTTCTGTCGGATAGGAAGTGCCTTCCTCCCTCGGCAATTCCCATAGCGACAAACCCCTACACAGGTTACAGGGTCAGAACCCCGGCGCCGCTTGTGTTGGACAATCTGGTTATGCCTTCCACCCTCGGCATAATTCCATGGGCCTCAAGCTCCCCCCTGGGTCACAGAGCTAAGCTCCAGCACCGACCCATGTCATCCCAGCCTCGTCCTCCTGACCTACTCACCTTCCCCGACATCCATCCTCTGATTGAAGGCCACCTTTCCTCCTCCCATCCTCCCCTTTTTAATTSCCCCCCTCCTTCCTTGATCAAAATCAAAATTATCTGAGTTTATAGAACTTCTATAGGAATTTATTTGAAGAATCTTTTCAGAAATTTCTTAGAAGCTTTTATAGCAAAATATTTCGTTTATAGAACTTCTATAGGAATTTATTTGAAGAATCTTTTCAGAAATTTCTTAGAAACTTTTATAGGAAAATATTTCGAAAATATTTTCAGAAGCTTTTGTAGGAAAATATTTCGAGAAGCATAAGTTTTTTGAAGCTTTTATTCGGAAAATATTTTGAGTTGTAGAATCAGAAGTTTCTTAGAAGCTTTTATAGGAAATTATTTCGAGAATATTTTTAAAGGCTTTTATAGGAAAAAAATTCGAGAATCAGAAGTTTTTTTTGGAAGCTTTTATAGGAATTCCAATACGAGGTTTGGAGTCTAAACCGAGCATGTCGATCATCAGGAAAATTCCAATTGATCAGCAGAAAGAAAACGAATCAGGAAATCATAAACTGAGAAATTCAGAAGAGCACCCAATGAACAATAGAAAGAAATCGAATCAAGAAATCGCGAACTGAGATCTTCTAATTATCCCCCCTTATAGAATCAATCTTTAGTACACGTGAATTAGGAAATCATGGGGGAAGCTGCCCTCCTTCCTTTCTTGCAGACGTGTGACTTCGTAAAAAATCCCGTAAGAAGAAAAAAAACTTTGTCTCCCCTTCATCCACCCTCACTCAAACCCAACCCCTTCACCTTCGGGAGGGAAGAACAAAACTCCCTCCATCTACCTGCCCTACCGGCCTCAAGGGCCTGCCATAACACCAACACAGGCAAACGAAGGTACCAATCGGCCATCCCCCTAAACTTCTCCAACATCGCGATGGTGGGGCAACATCTCGTTTTTGCCTGCCAACGAGCTACCCCAGGGAGTTCAAGCTTACCGCAGAGACTTGAGTGCACCGCTTCGCAGGGCAGATGAAAGTAGACAGAGGAGACCATGCATCCTATGCCGTCATCTCCAGTCGCTCTCCTTGTGGCGCCTTAATCAGCAAACACGTGCAGAAAGGGAAAGAAAGGATGTCGAAAGGAGAAGGGTCCACACACTCGAATTCCATGGCGCGCCCTAAAACTTCGATATCTCGTGATCCGCTGGACCGTTCGGTCTGAAATTTGGACCACCTCAGCTCCACAGCGTAGACCACCGGTGGTCCAAGTTGCAGCTCAGGGCGCGCGCCCAATCGCGCGCAATCCTTGAGTGCGCGCGCGCTATTTTCCTTGCTGCATGCTGTTATCCGACGCGCGCGGCTCCTCTCCGTGGTGACCTTGATTGATGCTGCCGGGGCGCAGCGCTCCCGGTAGCGCTGCGCCCCCGCACCTGCTCCATCATTGATTGCGTTGAACCGGACGGTAATTCAGATACGGTTTCAAGTCTGTCCTTCAGCCTAGATCTTAGAATTGCAGGTTGGGTACGTCTATATTATTTTCTTTTAAGCTTGAACAAATTTTGTGTGCGACGAAGAAACATCCAATACAGTCCGGAGTGGGGTGCGTGACAGGCCGAATACACCCCACTCCCCTGTTACGACGCTGAGGACCTCCGAAGCAGGCACGGCGGGTGACAGACGCCGCTGCCTTTGGCTTCAGCGTAGAACAGGGACCCCTCCCCGGGTTTCCTCACACCAGTTCCCAGCACGTGTTGCTCCCCACGAATAGATTGGAGCTTTGTTCCCATAAAAAAAAAAAAAAAAAAAAAAAAAACAACGGGGGACGCGGCATGTTTTGAGTTCCTAAAGGCACAGAAAACAGGCATCGGCGTCTGTGTCAGGGCCTGAGTTCGAAAAGGCGTTTGTAGCTCAGGCCG